AATGGCCCTCCGTTTCAGGCTGAAAAGCCTCTGGGCCTGAAAGGCCCAGAAATAGGCTGAAAACGGAATAGGGCCTGCAGGCCCTCGTTTTTCAGTTTCAGGCTGAAATGACCAGGGCCTGTAAGCCCTATTTTCTAGGCTTTCAGGCTGAAAGTGCGGGACGGGCCCTGCAGGGCCCGTGTGGCTACGCAGTATGCCAAACCCCCCCCTCCTTGGAAGACCGAGCTTACAAGCGAGGGCGAAGCTGTCTGTCTGAGGGAGGGACCACAGTCCGGGTGGGAGGGGCCGGTCGTGAATATTCTTGAGCTAACCTTTGCTTCTCGTAATGCGCGTAGATCAGTGGTGCGGATGCTTTCAGATCTGCTCCTGAAATCCACAGTGTCGTCGCGATCGCAGGCTTTGAATGTAAACTTGTACTGTCGCGGCTTGCTGCCGTGCTTGCAATCGGTGATGACGCGGTCAACTTCCTGATGACCATCCATAGAAGGAGGGTCTTGCGATCGTTGGCCCGGAAAGTCATCGCTCTTAGCTGGCGTGTATGTTGCCAGCTTTGAGGCGTGAAAGACTGGATGGACCGTCAGATGCGGGGGGATGTTGATCACAAATGAAGGGCCATCGGGCTCATCGCCCGCGGCTGATGTTACGGGCCATGGTCCAAACCACTTGGGAAGCAGTTTGTGTGAGACATCGTGTTCCAGTGCAAACTCTTCCGCGGAAACCCAGACCAGGTCGCCGGCGCGGATGGGACATGGCACACGATGCCTGTTGGCTTGCTGCTGCATGCCGACTTGAGCCCTTTGCATATTCGCACGGGCTTGAGCCAGCAATTCCTTGGACTTCCGGACGGAAGCGGGAGAGCAAGCGGCATCCATGTCAGCTGGTCGTGGGAGGAGAAGGTCGGCGAAGATACAGCCTTTCCGTCCACCGTGGTGCAACTCGAATGGAGTCACGCCTATCGTCGGGTGCACCGAAGTGTTGTAGGCCAACTCGATGTCGGGGAGGCGGTCAACCCAATCTTTCTGGTCCGGACGGATGAGCGTACGAAGCATCATTTGAGCGGTCTGATGTGCCCACTCCGTCTGCCCGTCTGTCTGAGCATGTCGAGCCGAACTTGGTTTCATTGTTGTGCCGGACTCCTGCATGAGTGCAGTCCAAAATGCCGACATGAAGCGAGTGTCGCGGTCGCTGACAATGTCTTCCGGTACACCATGGCCGCAAATCCAGCCGGGGTGCAGGAGGGGGCCAGCTCGGGAGCCGTGGAGTAGTACTTGCAAGGGAGAAAACGCGCGCACTTACTCAATCGATCCACGACCGTGTGGATGTCGTCGTGTCCGAGGCGGTCGCGAGGGAGTGATTCGGTGACATCCATGGCAATGGAGAGACCGGGTTCCTGCGGGATCGGCATCGGGCGCAGCTCGCCGTAGGGGTTGCAGTTGCGGGGTTTGCTTCGTCCGCAAACTTCGCAAGTGTCGCAATACCTCGTGACGTCGGTGATAAGGTCGGGCGATTGGAATCGCTGTCGAAGCCGTGCAATAGTGCGGTTGACTCCGAAATGGCCGACGAGTCGCGAATCATGATACTCGCCGAGGAGGAGAGTCCGAAGACGGCGGTCGTGTGGGACACATAGTAAGTACTTGCCCCGCGAGTGAAGGAGCAAGTACCCATCGGCGATGCGATAGTGGCTGGTCGGCGGGTGATCCGAAGATAGCTGCGCATATAGCGTGGCGAAGTCGGGATCGGACTCATAGCCCCTGATGAAGTGTTGCTGGAGCTCCTCGTCGAATGAGAAGGCATGATGTGTCATAGTGCAAAGATCAGGTCTTTGCGAGAGTGCATCTGTTGCGCGATTGGAGAGGCCGGGAGGATGTTTCGGTGTGAAGTCAAATTGGTCGATGAAGTACATCCATCGTCCGATCGTGCTGCTCACCGTGTCCTGCGTCTTGTAGTAGGTCAATGGATTGTTGTCTGTGACCCATGTGAACCTACGATGCCCAAGGAGGAAGTGCCGCCAGCACTTGAGAGGCATCACGAACGCGAGCCGCTCCCTCCTTGCATCATCAAGCGAGTTGATGGGAGGCACTTTGTGGCTGAAACACTCCACAAGGTGCCAGTCGTCGCCATCGTGCTGTTCCAAGATTGCCCCAATGCCATAGCCGAAAGTGTCCGTAGTCACTCGCGTGGGCAGGGTGTGGTCATAGATGCCAAGGACGGGTGCCATGAGCATAGCCGTCTTAGGTGCTTGGAATGACCGACGTGCGTCGTCATCGAATACGAATGGCACCTTTGACGATTGTAATCTTGTCATAGGTGCACCAATCCTCGAGTATCCGGTGATGAATCGCTGATAGTAGCCCGCCAATCCCATGAATGAACGAACGTTCGTGGTGTTGGTGGGCTCGGGCCATACTCGTAGGGCCTCGATCTTGTCCGCAAGCGGACGGATGCCTTGCGGTGTCACATAATGTCGCAAGTACTCCAGCTCCTGCCGCGCGAATTCGCACTTGTCGCGGTTGGCTTTGTACTTGGCTTGTCGTAGCCGCTCCAAAATGGTGCGCAGGTGTTCCACATGCTCGTCCAAACTCCGGCTGTACACCAGGATGTCGTCGAGGTAGATAAGTACGTATCGATCCAGCATGTGTCGGAACTCCGTTGTCATAGCCGCTTGGAAAGTGGTCGGGGCATAACCAGACATTCGAAATGCCCATATCGCGTCTTAAGCGCGGTCTTGCAGCAGTCCTCCTGCCAAATCTCGAGTTGGTAATATCCTGACTTGAGATCGAGCTTGGAGAAGAACTTGGCGCCGCCCAGTCGCTCGAGAAGATCGTCGATGCGTGGGAGACGGCCGACGTTTCTGATCGCCTGCGCGTTGAGCTTGCGATAATCGATGCACAACCGCAAATCCTTGTTCTTCTTCCGGACGAAGAGAACAGGAGCACCGTATGGCGATGAGCTAGGCCAAATCCAGCCTTTCTCCAGAAGGTCGTCGAGTTGTGCCCGAAGCACTTAACTCTTCCTCGCTCATTCGGTAGATGCAACCGCGCGGAGGTACAGCCCCATCCTCGAGGATGATCTCGTGGCGGATGGGCCGATCCAGTACTACTCCGTGCGGGCCTTCGAACACGTCGCCGTAGGCGTCGAGAAGCTCGGTGATGCGTGGATCCGAAGAATAGCTCGTCGATGAAGCGTCATGGGGCGGGAGGGCGTGGAGAAAACACACCCCCATCTCCTTGATGTCGTCTTTGATGATGGATGCTCGCATGCTTGCAGCGGATACCACGTGGCAGCTGATCAACGGATGAGGAAGAGGCACCGTGCATTGGACTAGTACTCCGTTTCGATCACGAATGTGAACGGTGTGGCGGTAGAAATTCATCGGGTGATCCTCGCTTCGCAGCCATGACATGCCCTAGATCATGTCGAATTTGGTGTTCAGAATGTCAAAGGACACCGCCTCACTTGCGTAAGGGGCAAAGTACATTGGGACGTCATCAATGCACCGATCGATTGATTGTGCGTGTGACAGTCCGCCAACGTGATTTGCGTAGAATGGGGCTTCCTTGGGACGCGTGGGCCAAGGCCGGCGCGCACCATGAAGTCCTAGTTGATGTAGTTGCGAGATGCTCCACAATCGATCAAAGCGCTGCAGGTCGCTTCTCCGATCTGAATGCGTACATATAGCAATGGTGCGTCGATGTCGTCGTAGCGTTGTGTCTTGAACTCGCGGTCGATCTTCGCAATGTAGGCGTGAAGGTCGACAACCTCTACTCCGGCGTCCATCAACGGAGTCGGTACTACAATGTGCAAGTAATCCCGCAATTGTGCCATAAGCACATTGCAATGCGGTTTCGGCAATCGACCGGTCGGGGGAACGGGCATCCACTGGAAGTCCGTGAACGTCAACGGGTCGAGCTCTTCAAGTCTTGACCATGACGTTGAATCCCTGGTGATAGATTGCGGCGAAGCTGCCGATTCGGTTGCCGATGGTGATGAAACCGTGGATGCGGTAGATTGTTGCACGTGGAGCCGTTGGTCCAACGGTGGGACCAAGTGGACAGCATTGTCCTCGTAAGCATACCGAGAACTTACGACATTCACATCCTCCCCAGATGTGTAGGAGGCCGCTAGCCAGGCGGCCGAATCTGGCAGAGTGGGAGGTGGAGTCGCCTCACCTCCCGCGGTACTCAGTTTCCCGAGCTAAGACGAGGACGCACATCCTCCTTGGCCTGATCCTGGCAAAGGGAGGTCTTGTGCTTGGTGCTGTTGCACCGGTAACAGTGGTCGTAACGGCCGCGGTACTTGTACTCGGCCTCGGTCAAGTTGAACTTGACCGATGGTGTTGGTTGTCCGTTTCCGGCCTGCGATGCTGATTTCGCCTTCCCATTACCTCGGGACTTGTTGTTGCTTCGCGGCTGGACAGCAGCCACCTGATCTCCCTCACGCGATGCTTGGGAGGCTGCCTGGTCTTCTCCACTATCCGATTGGACTGCAGCGACATGCTGCGGCCGCGGACCAGTCTTTAGCTTCTCCACATAGGTCGGCTGCCATGTTGATCTCTCATGTGCTGCTCTGTTGGTCTTGATGATCTCCCTTGCCTTGTCAATGATCTCAGCGAAGGTTGCATACTGCTCGCGATCACCAAGAGCAAGGCTCAATGCAGCGCATGACCTATTGTAGAACTCACGGCGCAGATGCGTAAATGGCAAGTCAAGATCGGGCGTTGCCGCGATGTTCTGCCATTCCATGAGCCAGTCACGTGTTGCTGTGTTGCCTTGTGTCATGTTGAAGAGACGGTTGATGGCGAGTGCAGGTGCGTCGTCCACGATGAACCGCTTCTTCCACAGCCATGTTAACTCTTCCCATGAGATCTTGTCTTTCAAATCTGCGACGTCGACGCCATGGGTGGATGCTAGGTGGGTTAACCAGATCTGGCATCCGCCCTTTGAGCTAAGAAACAGGGCGCCGATGTACGCGTGCTTGGCGACGAACAGAATCCGCAGTTGCGTCGTAAAGCCTTCCCACCAGAGTACCGGGTCTTGATGCATGTAGTCATCGAACTTCTCAATGTGGAAAGTTGGCATCTTGTAATGCATTAGGTTGTTGCCTTCCTTGTTCGGCAACTGCAGTTGCTGGACCTCGGTCTTCAAGGTATCCAGCTGATTGTTGATGGTGGTCGGCTCAGCAAAGGTGCTGATGTCGCCAAGCATTGCGACGACGTGGTCACGACGTGGTCGACCCATTCCTCCAGTTGGCGGTTAGAGGGTGCACTGCTGGACACACCAGCATCTGGTCCTGGTACAGCTTGCTCCAGGTCCAGTACACGGGAATTGAGTGCCCGTGTAGCATCCTCGTGGCTCTGCACTGTCCGGCGGAGGTTTGCCAACTCCTGGTGCTGTTTCTTCAAATCCTGGTACTTTCAAGGGGAAGTCTGCAACTGTACACAATTCAGGCCCTCGGCTGTGAGTCAATCTGTACGACTGTGGGTGGGAGACCTGAGGCTAGGCTCAAACACTACATAAGAATTCGTCACCAGGAGGTCAACATTCAGTCTTGCTATGCTGCCTTCACGCTGGCTGGACGCCGGCATGATGCTGGCTCGACGCTGGTTGGACGCTGGCTGTGCACTGGCACTGTTGACGACGACACGGGACTGTGGCAGCATGCTGTCGCCTTCTCTGCTGAGCGCCAGCCTCTGCTTGGGGCATACCACCTGTCTACATTTCTGATGTGGCACATGCCAACTGTCTACATTGCTGATGTGTGGTGCATGCCACCTGTCTACATTGCAGATGTGGCACATTCCACCTGTTTACATTGTCGAGGTGGCGCAGCCCATCTGTCTCCATTGCTGATGTGGCTCATGCGACCTGTCTCTATTGCTGACATGGCACTGGCCACGCTGTCAACATGAGATGATTGGTTGCAACAAGGCGTGTTAGATGCTGCGCCTGGAACAGGCTGCACGGGCCATTTCCAGGCAGGCCAAAAGCCTGAAAACAAGGGCCTACAGGCCCTGTGCCGTTTCAGCCTGAAAGCCTGAAAACAAGGGCCTACAGGCCCTGTGTCGTTTCAGTCTAAATCAGGGCCTTTCCGGCCCTGAGTATTTTTAGCCTGAAACTGAGGGCCATGTTCGGGCCCTCATCGGTTCGACCTGCCGTGAAACTAAGGCAACAAACCAGGATTTTAGCACAGGCCATTTCGGGCCTGTGACAACCCCTTGTTGAGCTTCAACGCCAGGGGCTGGCACGTTTCGGCATTGGCAAGAGCAGCCTCCTGGACGGGCCAGCACTATATAGGACTGGCCCGCCCTGCAGGCTGTAGGTAGTTCCTAGGTACTTCCCAGGCACTTCACATGCAGTTCAGGAGGCAGTAGTCTTCAGGATTCGGCGGCAGCACTCTGGAGGAGCGCTGCAGGAGTAGTAGCAGCGTTAGCAGTACTCTTCAGCGCTGGGCACTAGTCTTCAGCGCCAGGCGCCATAGCAGCTAGAGTAGTACTAGAGAGAGATTGGGCGGAGGCCAGATGGACGCCCCTGCAGCGCCGTTGCTCCAGCTTCGTCTTCGAGGCACCTGCAGCACAACGCCATCTTCACAGGTTAGTACCTGGCATATAAGAGAGAGAGAGTTCTTCTTCCTCTTCTCAGTCCACCATCTCCTTCTCACCCTTTAGCTATCTTACTTCACTGCATCAGCAGACTACGAGAGAGAGAGAGAGAGAGAGAGAGAGAGAGAGAGAGAGAGAGAGAGAGAGAGAGAGAGAGAGAGAGAGAGAGAGAGAGAGAGAGAGAGAGAGAGAGAGAGAGAGAGAGACATTTGGATCCACACTCGACATTGGACTTCAGACATTTCGAAGAGGGATTATTTGGGACGAGACTTGGTGTTGGCGACTTTCCCATCTCCCCCTTCCTCTTCTTCGTCTGATCCCCTCCTCTTCGTCTGTGTATGTCTGGACCTGGCACCTCCTTCCTGTGTATAGCGCCAGGCCCCATCACACCTTGTGATGAGCATGATGTATGTTTGGTCTGCTTTGAAACATTGAGTGGGCTAGTCCTTAGTATTCTAGCATTCTGTTTCGCTATCTTGTACAACGCGAAAGAGGTCAGTCCCGGTCAGGTCCGGACTTGTACCTAAATCTTCCACTGCAGTATAAAACATCATTTTGTATGTATCGGAATGCACATTGCTTGTTGAGATTCCACTTGCACTGCATTGTCAATTCAGTCCTTATCACATTGTGGATCCTCGGTTTATATGTACATCGCCCAACTGGGCATGTAACAAGGAGGGAGATCGGGATACGTGGATGATTGGGGAACTGGTACTCACCTGAGGTTGACATCGATACCGTGCACTGCTGCTTGTCTTCATTGTCTCCACGAGATGACAGTGCCACGTGGCACTTCTATGCGATCAGGACTTGTCAGACTTGTTACTGGATATCGATTGATGACGTGGAGGCGAAGGGAAGCCCGGAGAAGGAGTTGGTAATGTTTGGGGCTACTCCTCTGGTGGTCATTGATTATCTCTTCCACCCTCTTATCCGTCTATTCCCCCTCCACTCTCTTCATCGATTGGTAACGAGACATTGTATCAAATATCACTTCACGATTATTGGAGACATTGTGCAGATCTGACTTAACTTGTACTTGACCGTCTGACGAGTATCTTCCAGTCTGGGTTCATTACAGCTAACCCTCTAACCAAAAAAAAGAGACTCTCAGCTACGGTGAAGAGAGAGAGAGAGCGAACTTGACATCGAGAACAAGGAGTTCATGACAACGAAAACAATCACCAGCCAATAAGCACTATCGCGCGCCAAGGAAACGGAGGGCCCAGATCGGCTGCTGGTCACAAATAGTGATTGTTATAATGTGGTGAAACTTTTCAAGCCCACATGTCACAAGCCCATGCTGCAAACTGTTGATCTGGCTTTATTCAGAGCTGCCAGCACTTCCAGCTCCTTTCCTGGCATTGCAACTGTCAATGTTGAGGCCCTGGAAAGCGACTCGTAGGAGGCCAGGTCGATAGAGCTATTGGCACCTTCATAGATCGCTCATCATTATCTACATTCTATGCAGCCGAAATGGCAGGCGTAAGTAGATTCATGCGATTTCACAACGGGAGAGGTCAGTTGAGGTCAGAAGCCTACACCTTTAGCCTGTTCACCTGCGAAGTTGGAACAACGAATAGATGCTGATAGAGAGAGAACGGGGGCCCCCAAACATTACCACTCAAAGACACTGCCAAATGACAGATAACGACAGAGGCCTGAAGCTTAACCTGACCTCCGGACCCGTGTTTGTGATTTGAGGATCACCTTCCTTCAGTTGCATACTGATTAATTTAAAGTTCAGACCTTCTTCTTTGAAATCCATAACCTTCTTCTTTGAAATCCATAAAACGATTTGAGGTGTCCCTGGGTCAAATGTTCAACAACAATTAGGTCATCTTTTTCAGATTTCCTGCTCAAATTCGCGGACAGTTTTGCGCACCCTAACATCTCCATTATCCGACACCCGAGAGCACGCAGTTTTCTTGATTTACGCCTCAATTTTCAGGAAATTTCAGAAAGGTTCATTTTCGAAGATTTTGCGAACCCTGCCATCTCCTTTGTCTACCAGTCCAGATCAGTTGGGTGTCCTTGGCATTCCACCCTGAAGCAAAAATAAACCCAACAGATACCTCTCTGGCGTCCACACACACACCCTCACAAAACAACCATCAAGAAAAAGATATCTGGAAACCTCACAAACTTTCAGATAGAAACCAGCAGATAAGTTTGTGGCAGGGCGCCTCTCGCTCAGGTGCCCAGCAGACAAGAGGAAAACGCAGACCACACATGCCACATTGAATTGGTAAAGTTGTCAACTGCTTTTTGAAAGTGCTGGTAGCATGTTTCATGGTCATCTCCTTGCAAACTCTACATATGAGCTGCCAAACCACTGAAAGGGATCGGGGATGTGTGGTATTAGAAGAAACACAGAAACCTAAAAAGAAACATTGAGGAATGCTGGATAACGCACATACATTTGACCTTTACCTGGAGTAATCTCAAGCAGCGTTCCACCTGGTCCCATTGCTCTACCGATGGCTGTGAAGCTTCACATTTCCCACCTCCAGACGTGGGGGATGCGAGGTCTTTTGTTGTGTGTCGGTCCACTACCTTTTCCTCAGAGCCAGTGTCTTTCTTTGCTTTGTCCTCCCAATTATTGTCATCGACAACACTGCAGCTTGCTGCACTCATGCTGTCTGACGACTGCTCGACTGCGGTCATCCGGGCCGGGTTTTGTATCCCTCCCGTCTCGATAGCTGCTTCAAGTCTCTCGAGAACCTCACCAATGAAATGCTGTCTTATACCTACCACATTCTCCTGCATGTCGCAATGATAACGTCAGTGACACTATACACAGCTGAGAGCAAGTGAACTTTCAGTACCGGGTCTGGGAGGCAACAAAACATTAACGAAGATGCTACAGAAAGGGTGTTTTTTTTTGTTTTTTGTTTTTGGAGGTGGGGAGGCGGGGAAGGGGAGGGAGGTACTGTACGATGACATAAAGAGCCAATAAATTAGGTGATAGGCCGCCCAAAAAGGAAACGGTGGCACAAAAAGGACAGCAGCAAATATGTCAAAAAAGGAAGCATGATAGAGAAACAAACAACAACAACGTGACAACACGACAAACAAAAGTGAGAGGGCTGCATTGTGTCACATTCACATACCTACGGAGCCCCGAAACCCCGTACATGCATAGTTTTTCCTTCTTTTGACAATTTTTGGAACCACCAGTTCAAGCCCCCCTTCCCCAAAACTCTTGTACACAGCCGAAATGAAGGGTTGGGAGAGCCCAGCCAGGAGATTGGGAGAGCGCTCAAAATGGGCCACCTTGGGCCTGGTTCTTCACTTTCGACATCCAGCGGCAAGTCGCACAAGACGAAGGAGACGATAGCGTAGTAAAAACCAGGAAAAGACAACGGCAACTCCCAACCTAACCTAGAGTGCAATACGCAATGAGAACCAAAAAACCAGGAAAAGAAAACAGTTCCTTACAAGTAACTCCCATCCTAAACTAGAGTGCAAGGAAATACGCGATGAGAACCGCGATAAACCAAACTGCAACAATCAAGACAAACCAAATAGGAACAAGGAATACACCGAATTCTCGTGATAAAGAAAGCCCTTCCTCCAATCATCTAAGCAACAACAATGTAACACTCCCATCAGCGTTGTGAACGCCCAGTCGACGCCCTATCTCCTATACACCTCGCCTATCAAGATGTCAGCAATCTGTCCACGCAACACACATCCAATACCGCTTAAAGACTATGATTGTGCAGTCTGCCTTTAGCAACACCAGGTACAACCTCTTTTTCATCAGCTCCCTTTCTGTCCTTTTCCCTTCCTCCACCAAGGACCTCTGCAACTTCCAGCACCCAGTGGTGGAGCATTCTCCCTCTTCTCCTCGCTGCCACCGCAGGCAGCTTCCTCCACCGACACAGCGCTCCGCCAGTGCTCCAGCACCGCTGCCGGGTCGGCAAAATGCCCGAATGCACAGCATCCTCTTTTGTGTTAGCTGGAGAGCCTGGAAGGGCTGTGACCATGCTGCGCCCTTTCCCAGCTTCTTGTGCCCAGGCCCTTCTGGAAGACTACACAGGCCCAGCAACTTACTGAGGAGGCGGGCTCTCTGGTTACCTCCAGACGCTGCACGAGTGCTGGCACTTCCCACTGGACAAGCTGCATTTTTACCTGGCCCGCCTTCACTTAGGTGGGCAGGGCCTTTTCCAGCTAGCCGAGGTCCTGAATCCCCACAATAGAGAGAGGGGGGCGGGGGGAGGAGGAGGGGAGGGGAGGGGAGGGAAAGACAGAAGAAAGATAAGACTCCTGAATCCTCACAATAGAGGAGGTGGGGAGGGGAGGGAAAGACAGAAGAAAGATAATACCCATTGCAAAGCACCAGGACACGCCCATATAGTGAGAGCGTACATCTTTGCTTCTGGTGTGCTTTAAATCACCACTACCTTTCCAAGCTGTAGTCCCATTCGGAAAACTGTCGCCAAGCGCAAAGTTCGTAGGTCCGGGGGAGGGTTGGCAAAAACAAAACGTTTGGGCCTTGCGGGCCAGATAGGAGAAAAAAACAGAAAAAAAAGAAAAAAAAAGAAACTGCAGAGTCAAGGGAAGGACGTCGGAGAAAGCGACGAAGGAAGTGTGCTCACAGCAGTGCCTCGAGGAATGCATCTACCCAGAATCAGCAATAGTTTCATCTTTTGTTTTTTGTGTTTTTTTATTTTTTTCTTCTGAGTTAATTTTAGTGCCCTGCTGACGAGGCAGGGTGCTTTCCATGGCCAACCAACACTTGCAACCAATGGGGAACTCTCACATGTACTCAAGATTCTGTATCCAGCCGCTTTTTCGTCCAAAGGTTGTTGCTGTTTTTGCTTTATTTCTTTCATACAGCTGTAGGTGCTGAGGGCTGTAACGGCCGTTGGGAGGGCATATTCTCACTTGTGCCCAATGTTCTGTATCCCGCTGCTTTCAATTCCATGGAGTTAATTACCTTTTTCTGTTTGTTTTTTTTTTTCCTATTCCTATTGCCGTGTTTTGCTGAGGGCAGTAACAAGGCAGATTCTCACGTGTACACAGCGCCAAGTCCCACGAGCAGCATCGAGTATCCTCAACGCCCGAATCAGGGCATGTTCGTGGAGAGGTGCGACCGAGGAAACTACACACGATTTTCTGCACATCTTCAGAAAGACATCCAGATTCGAGCGTTGAGCAAACTCAAGGCTGCTAGTGGGACTTGGCCCCCAATGTTCTGTATAGCATATGTATTTGCTTATTGCAAGTTTCCTTTTCTTTGCTTTTTTTTTTTTCGACAGGTACCAAAAAAGAAAATACAATGGGACCCAGGCACGGCAAAACTCGGTGCGCGGTGAAATTCAGGGTTGGCAAAAACAGGCTCGGAGCTAGTGATGCTTTAACGGGGGGTGCCAACGTACTCTCTCTCTCTCTCTCTCTCTCTCTCTCTCTCTCTCTCTCTCTCTCTCTCTCTCTCTCTCTCTCTCTCTCTCTGTGTGTGTGTGTGTGTGTCTTTGCCTGTGTGTGTGACAGAGATGGCGCTCATTGTGGCCGTGCAAATGGTGGCCCAAGCCAAGGGGCAGAGAGGTCTTCCACCCTCTCTCTAGAGTTCACTCTTTGTGGCCGTGCAAAATCTGGCCAGACGCGCAAGCAAGAAGGGCCTCGCAAAGGAACTGCCCATCCAGCAAGGCAGGGGAAGAGTACAGCACAGATAACGGGTTGTGACGAATCCAACATTAACTCACCCAAAGGATTTCCTTGTGACAGCGTGCTACCTCCTGAGTTCGGAACTGGGTGCGGTAAGTTAACAAACCTGACATACTGTCACCCTTTCTCAAGCTTCGCACGGACTCACACAACTCTTTTGCACAACGCTGTTCATCCATCTGGATTCGTAATCTTGATCTGTTTGTTCCTAGACACAGACGAGTGTGATTCAGCCACTTCTCTAAAAAAACTCCACCCATCTTCTGTTCTAAGGGACGAGAGAAAAGACTGCAGCAAAAATGTCAAGGTCCTCATCTGCTCAACTTACCAGTAATGCGTCAGCGAGACATGTGTGAATGTCACGGAGCATGTTGATGCTAAGATCCACGATGTCATTTACTGGGGAGTGGAGAATAATCTTCCAAACATAGGAGAGCCCAATTAAATCCAAATCATGCGTAATAGAGTTGTCATCATGATTACGCCGTTTAAGTTTCCTTTCATTTAGATTCACCCATTGGAACAGCCGTGTAAAGCATCTGCGCACAACCATGCACAAAACACCACCGACAGAACGAGCATAAACGGTCACCAACAACGGAAAATCCAACATGCCCCTCTCGAAATCTAACATTTCCAGGCCGGAACAAGTGAACTCAGTCATATACGTAACCCTCTCAAAATCAAACATCTTGAAACGAAACAAGTAAACTCAGTCACATACACGCCCCTGTCAAAATTGAACATCTTGGGGTTGAAACGAGTAAAACTCAGCCACATGCCCACCCACCTTGCCACACAGCCGCATGATAGACTTTTCATTGCATTCATTCATATGAAATCACTGGTTGAGCAGCATGCCCAACAGCTCTGAGATAGATCAATATCGCCCCAGGACTCACGACATAACACCGGTCTCCTCTGAAGCATATACATCAAAATTGATCCAATGTCAAAGGCAGGTCCATGGGAGCTTGTGTAACTCTCAGGAAGCAACGGGGTCCTGAACTCTCCCCTAACCCATCAGTTACTGCCACCACCTGGATCCCTCATAGCAGGCTGGATCCCTCTGTTTCACTCCATTGCTTGGCGGGTTGTTTTCAATATCAGGGAAACATATAGCAAAAGAAGAAATTGTTTGCCATGTCTGATCATATTAACATGACACTCGCTGCATAACATGTTTTTGAGAACACGGAACACATTTCCAAGAACAGCTAATTCTCATAACCCGTTTGCAAGAGCAGCTAATACCAGTCCATTGAGTATACAGCTCACTAACTACAGTAGCATTGTCTTCTCTTCCCTCCTTGCCATTATTTCATGGGAATAATTAACCAATTCTCAAACTGACCCACCCTGGACTACAAGCTGATTGCCATATGCCAAGGAGAGGAGTGGTAACCATGGCGCTGCCAGGCCCCTCGACCTGAACCCGCTACTATCAAACATAAGCCTCGTTATGATCCTCGCTATTTCCGAAGTGCATTTTCACGAGGACAGACAAAGCCACCCAATTGTGAAAGAAATGAAAGCACTTGCCCAAAGAAAAAGGAAGGCTCTGGTACCGTCCGTACAGGCCCTAGACTCAGGCTACTTGGGACTGTACCGGCCTACCTCTAGCCTACCGCTACTGGGCCTCTAAAAATGCCAACTTTTTGTCTTTTTCTGCTCGGCCTCGAGTACCAGACACATCTACCACCACTTGAGTGGTACCGACCTACCAGCTACTTGAGTGTTCTTCCCACTGCCCTAAGTGCCACAGGCCTACCCCTGGCACTTGTGCTTTTCCTGCTGCAACCCTAGAAGTCATGGCCACAGGTAAGTACCGGCCCTGCGGTGCCTCCGTACGAATAAGTACCCTTGCGGGTCACACACACACTCAGGCCGACAAGCACTCAGACAGGCASGCAGACCAGCAGGCACGCACACACACAGACTTTGAAAACGCAGCAGAATGCGAGAATCCCAGGCACGCACACACACAGACTTAGAAAATGCAGCAGAATGCGGGAATCCCAGCCAGGCATACAATCCAGCGGTAAATCACAGAAATAAGCAGTGTTCTCAGTCTGTGTTTTAGCTGTCATTACAGCCTCAATGAACTCGACCTCTTCCAACTCATCTGGCAAACCTGCAGGGGCTTATGAGAGGCGCCTCTGGGATAAACTCATCTGGCAAACCTGCAGGGGCTTATGAGAGGCGCCTCTGGGATAAAGGAACATATCGTTTTAGACAATTCCATATATCAGAGTTTCTACACTGCACTTCAAAATAAGTCTACTTTCATGCGCCCCCTGTACTCTTCAGGCAAGATCCAAAATGATTCTCTGCTGCTAGGGCACGGCCTTCACCACGCAAAAAAAATGCCCATGCATTCGGCCAGGAATGGCACCCACTCTTCGAGAAGCAGAGCTCTTGCTCAGAAATGAGACTATGGGTGAGGAAAGGCGGACCTGCTCCGCGCGGGGACTCGGGGTCAGGAAGGGCGAGCTCAGCATGGTTGAGATAATAATCAGCACAGGATATGTAGAAATACACTGTACTTCATCGGCTTCTTCCCACAGTGTGCAGCAATGTCACCCATCCAAACTGAATGTTGCATTAGGAAGGAGTCTCCCTCAATGTTCTGTTCCACACCGAACACCTCCGGCGAAAACCGGACAATATAAACCATGGTAACTGCGGACCTGCTTTGCACTTCGTAGTTCGGGCAGCCAAGGAGGGGCTTGGGGGAAGGGGGGGGGGGGGGGGGGGGAAGGCGGGGGTTTGTCGGCAGGTGCTCACCTGCTTTGCACTTCGTAGTTCGGGCAGCAGAGCACCTGACTTGCAGCAAATCAACAAGTTCATTCAACTAGCAGACATGCAGAGTTGCAAAAAGTGCAAAGCAGGCACGAGACTAAAGAATGAAAGAAAATAATAATAAAAAAAGTTCATTCAACTTTCAACGAAGTAAGTTTAGTTCATAAATCATACTTCAAAGTTCGAACTTTGAAGTTCAATTCAGAAATTTGGAGTTCTCAGACTGGCAGCACTGTTATCTCTCTCTCTCTCTCGGGTCAGTGGGATGTCTTGTGCAGTGTAGATAGGGGTTCTGATTCCGGGTCGCCCTCTTCCACTGACGAACTGCCACCTTTCTCATCGCCTTCGCTTTCGTCCTCCTTGCCACCGCCATCAGTCCCACCGCTGCCACCCCTCCGGTCACGACCATCGCCACTGCCACCATTTTCGTGGCAGCCGCCACCACTTTCATCGCCGCTGACGCCACTTTCATCGCTGCTTGTCCCTTTTGGTGCTGCTTCCTCCTCTTCCACGGACTCCTTCGGTGATCTCCCCCGCTTTCTTGTGACACGTGCGGGTGCAGGACCTGCTGCCAAATTGCCACCTTCCACGTCCTCAACCTCCTCATCACCTGTCCCCGCTCGAGTTGCAGCCTCCTTCAGAGGTCTCCCTCTCTCCCTCGTTTGGCCGGGATCGAGGGTGGTGCACATGCGATTTCCCTCGCAGCTTTGTATTTGTTGGCATGCTCAACGGTCATGGTCCTCGTGGCCTGATGCGACTCGTGCAAACGTTGCCGGGCCAGAAATTTGTAAGCCTTTCTGGCCTTCCTCCATGACTCGTTGAGCTCCCTCTCGAGCTCAAGCAGATTGTTGCGCAGCCAATACCGCTGGATTGTTATCTTCTCTCCAGCAGGCGTATGTGGTGCGTCAACCGGAATGTCGTCGTCGTCAGAGCCTGAGTCATTGTTCTCACCTGGATCACAAACGGGCTCTGTTCTGTGCAGCCCGACACACCACTGCACCAACCGCAATTGTGCATCCACTGCCATCTCATCCCATGTGAGATCTTCCACCGGTTCATCCGCTTCCCATTTCATAGAATCCATATCAGCCTTCGGCTTCTTAATCAAGGCATCCAACAAACGCTGGTTCCATTTGTTGAAAACCAGCGTGATAAGCTTGATGGCACCGAGGTTGTCACAGAAACAGCTATGAATTCGTTCAAACAAGCTCCAGTTCCTCTCGCAACAAGAGGAGGGCGCTCGTCCAAGCGGATAGGCATGTCACTGCACCACTTCCTCCAGCACCTCGCCGGCTGCATCACACGGGTTTGTGCCCTTGCATCTTCACAATTGTCTCCCAGTGCCCTCGATCCAAGAACAAACCTCTGTGTCAACCTCAACATACGAAGACTCTTTGCACCACGAGTAACCCCAAACCCAAAACCCATCCGCAACAGCTGCATCCATTTCCGGCCGCGATGCTCTGGATCCAAGAACAGCGCAGCACAATGCAGCGCTGATGTCATTGTGTTCCAGTGCCACATGATGGTCTCCTCAAGCAGCTCCTCCGCTTCGGCGAAGTGCTTGCTCTCCGTTAGTTTCTCCACTGTGCTGTCCATATGATCTCCACTAATGGTGGGGCCCGTGCCATCGACCTTCTTCAAAAGTTTGAGCACGTGCTTGGACGTCTGCATCACCTTCTGGACATCCGCCCAGAAGGTGTCGTCCAAGATGGAATGTGTCGCCTTCACGAACAGCTGACGCAAGTGTGCACGATCTCTGGCTTCCAGTCATCATCTGTCACACATGCACGCAGTGGCAAATACAACCCTGCAGGCTCGACAACATGATGAAATTGGTCAGAAATCGGGTCGCACCCGGTTCTGACACAACACCGCCATTGGAGTAGTGGACCGGGAGTTTCCACACCCGTGAATCGTTCGTGAAGAACTTTGCAACCTCCGATGCCCTGTTTGCAATTGCACCGACCCACCCAATCTTCGTGAAAGACTCGAACATCAAGTCGAGGGAGTGTGCTGTGCACGGGACAGAGAAGATGTGCGGGTGATCTGCTTCAATCATTTGCCCCGCAGCTGGGCAGACAGCAACATTGTCCATAATGACCCCACCACTGCCTCCGCACCTATCTCCTCTATTGCCCTCTTCAAAATGGCGTAGTATGCTGAGGTGCCCTTGTTCCACCGTGACATACACACTTCTCCAAAAGATGGAGCCCTTAAGGAGACCATCACGTTGATGGGTGGCCTCTGTCAGTGGTCTGTCCAACCATCAAGCTGCAACATGCAGCCAGTGGATGGCCACTCCTGTCACAACTCCTCCACCCTCTTCCCGACCCTGCCCCTTGTTACTTCGACCCTCTTCATCCTCTCATTTCTGAACTTCGCGTACCTGAAGTCTTTCGACGCATTCATTAGCTCGTGCAGCAGTTTGTCCCAGTATTCGCTCTTCATCATGTTGAAAGTGATGCATTCGGCCATATCCAAGCATCTATCGAGCAATGTGTTTGCTCGTGTGCCATAATGTAAGCGGCACTGTCCGCGGAGGATGAGTGTTGTCGTATGGCGGAGACCTACCGCAGACCCCAATGAATCCACAACTCCTTCCACCAATGTCCACGGAGCATTCTCTTCCTCCAATGATTCCTCCGTTTCACGCTCTGCCACAATGGCCCCCATCTTGGACCTTGCAGCCAGCCTCCCCTTCTCCCTCCTCAAGCACTCCTCTTTTGGTATAATACCTCTCAGGCCCTCCTCGTCGCATCTTGACGTCGAATGATCCCTTGCCCTGCTGGCTGTCCCGGCCACAGGCTTGTCGCAAAAATTGCATACACGCTTTTCGTTCCCCTTCTCAGCTTTGCAAATGATTCCCGCTTCCGTGAAGTGCTTCCTCACAGCCTGGCTGCGTAGTGATCCTGTAAGCATACAAAGAAAGCGAAAGAAACAACAGTTGTTAAAGCCCGTTTGCTCCCTAGGCCTCAATGCTCTCCCTTCTCCACTCTATTCCCATCCTTCCATCTGCTCACAGAAATCAACCATTCAATCAATCAATCACGCAATCAAGCAATCAACCAAACAATCAATCATACCATCAATCAATCATACCAACCAGTCAATCAATCACAATCATCATACCAACCAGTCAATCAATCACAATCATCATACCAACCACTCAATCAATCACAATCAAGAGAAGCCTCTGTTGATTGATGGATTAATTCGAGTGACAGATTGGTTGGTTGATTGATTGAGTGATTGATCGATTGATGGTATGATTGACGCATTGTATGATTGATTGATTGACTGAGTGGTTGATCGGTTGACCTCTCCAAATGATGCCCATGAAAAATGTCCAATGGAAAATTTGACAGCGTGGCTGCACACCAGTTACAGCACGACAGCACCCCCCATGGGGTGAAATGGTTGCGGAAAACAAAGTGTCTATCCAGCAATGAAACAAGAATCAATCAATCAATCAATCAATCGACCAATCAAGCAATCAAGTCAGTCCATCAATCAATCAAGATTTCTAGATTAATTAATGGACTGATTTTATTGATTGATTGATTGGCTGCTTTCCGTGGCCAGATATATTACAGGTGAGAAACGACAAAAGCATATCGACGATTCAAGCAAACACCCAAAGACGCAAATGAAAAATGAATAGGTTGTCCGTAACAAATATGGCGCAAAAAAAAGAGGTTCCAAGTCCCGTACAACAGTTCAAACAAAGAGAGAGAGAGAGAGAGAGAGAGAGAGAGAGAATCGCTACCCCCCACCTTTACGCCAAGAAAGTTACAATAACGAGACAGAGAGAGAATCGCTATCCTCCCCCCTATATGCCAAGAAAGTTGCAATAACAAGAGGCCAAGATCGAACGCAATGTGAGAGAGAAGAGAGAGAGTCGCTATCCTCCCCCCTACACACCAAGAAAATTGCAATAAGAAGAACCCAATATCAAACGCGATGCACGTGCACGCC